AGCCTCAAAGAAAGAAAAATATTTCTTTGATATCCTTGACTAGGAACACACACTATCAAAATCCAATCGCTGCTGGAATAAGATTAAGAGGTTCAAGTGCTTTGGATATCCGATCAGACTTCTTTGATACACTACTGTGGCAATGCTATCAAGAAACTTATGTTTGGGACAAGAACGTTCTCTAAAAACACCGCAACTGAAGGTGGACCAACGGCAGAGGATATTGAGCATATGGAAGCTATGTTTGAAGCATTAGGGTTTAAGTTCGCCTTTTGTATCTCTGATTATCTACATATGCTCACGGGACTTGATCTAATCGGTCACGAGAATGGTGGCGTTTAAGATATAAACGATCAATCTAGGATTGTTACTATTTTGTGTATAAGATATAAACGATCAGTATAGGATTGTTACTATTTTAAGAGGACAAAACTATATATTATCTTCCTTGAAACAACATAATCACAAAACAAACACAACTATTTACATTTTTCATTCACAAACATGAACTGTACTTTATGTTTAAGTATTTACTAAATTAACTTTGTAAAGTCTATCGAATTTTTACTCTATTTTTATTTGTTTTGATTAATAACAACCACTTACGCTACTCCACTAATAATCAGAAAAGATAGTTGTCTTCAACATAGTTACAACGTCCAATTTCTGAACATAATCTCTTCAGTAAGGCCACAAAATAAATCTCAACTTTTTTTATAATAACATATATGAATCCGGCGCGTAGCGCCGGCACACCACTAGTAAGATATATTGGTGAGATAGCCATATTTTAGTGTGAAATTAAATGAATAATATTGATTTTGACATAATTAAATATCAGACATTTGATCACATTTTCTCCAATTCTACCTTTTCATGTAGACAGTTTTCCCAGTTGTAATTCTTAAAATAAGCAATTTGGTTCTTTTTGTGGCAGAACTATACAAACACATAATCCAACTCTCCGACCTAAATAGAATGGAACTAGATAAATAGCATAGTACATATTGGTGAAATTATGAAATATATAATATCATGGAAGAAGCTAATATTAACCCCAACAAAATACAATACCCTAAACCTTAATCACTAAATCCTAAACCCAAATATAAACCATAAACCCAAATACTAAAAGTATGTAAAGTACTTAAGTTTCCTTAAATCATAAACCTAACCCCCAATCTCACTCACTCTCTAAATTCTAATCCTTAAATTATATTTAATAAATCCTAAATCCAAATTTAAACCCAAAAAAATAAATGTAGATGTGGTTAACAAAATTTGTGTGAAATTTACACTTATGTGGATCTGGTTAATGAAATGATAAAATTAAGTTTCAAATTCTTAGTTTTGATCAATACACATAAACAAGGATTCATAGGATGATACAACAACAAAACATAACTTATACTTAATGCACTATACAATCACATTTATATTCTATGTCCTGCAAATAGAATATAATAAAATAGTAAAGATAATATATTCTATCTCACATGAATAATTTTCCAATTTTACGTACTCATCATCTATTCCATTTATATACATATTGCATTATTACATACTCCCACCGTTTCATATTAAGTGTCATTGTATAGAATCTTTTGCGTTACAAAATAAGTGTCGTTTTCGTTTTCAATGCAAAATTTATTAATTTTGTTATGTAATTTGTTTTTCTATTGGTTAAAATATGGTTAGGTATATGGGTAACTGTGTTTTTTTATATATGAAATATGTAAAATTAATTGTTTTCTTAATCCGTGTGCACAGTTGTAGAGTGACACTTATAATGAAACAGAGGGAGTATAAAAGAGAAATATATTCACCAGATGGCTTAAATCTAGCTTCGAAAAATCTACTTGGCAGCCTATGTCTTCCATTTGTAACCTAAGAAACAAAAGCAAAAGATAAAAGTGTTAGGATCCATATAACAAAGTAAATGCAAGATAAACTGTATAGTATAACAATAATGTAGAATGTAAACCATGTAACACTTAACGATATGCATAGTTCACGATCTTAAACCACACATGGAAATATATATATGAAACCTTATCAACTAATCACGAAATCCTGCATGGAAATATGACACCTAATCCAATGTCAACCCCAATCTTGCAATGATGAATTCAATATTCTAGAAATTAACCCCTCTCCAATCATCACTAAAACCTACACAGAAATATAAACCTTAATATAAGTATAAAAATACGTAAAATACAAGTATCAATTCAGAAGCTAAAAAAAGGTGATATTAAATATTTGAAGTTATTCCAAGTCAAATAGAATATAAACATCTATATTTTATTCTATTCCAAGTCAAATAGAATATACCTATCGAAGATCATGTCATTTATCTGTATGTAACTCAGATGCTATTCTATATCGAAACAATACTACTACACCAATTATTATGTATATCCGATAAAAATATAAATAAAATTTAAGAAAGTTTACGAACAACTAGAAAACCATAACCGAATATACCGTGTGGAACTTAGTTGCATAAAGCAAATCAAATATTCACTGTTGACGATGTTGTAGATTTAACATTTATAGTACCCTAGTTCCGAGTATAGTCAAAATGGAAAAAAAATAACAGCAAATAAAGACAACCGGGCGGAAAAACACGAGATCTTATCGTAGTTGAATAGATCTGACAAGAATTGAGTGTCGGAAGTGGAATAGACACGAGGTGTTGATAGGTGTCGCTGCAACCTTTTCGCTGGCAAGGGACGTCTGATTTATCAGGTGATTACAAACCACAAAAGAGAAGTCAAAATCTGAGAAAATCAGAAGAACGTGATGGTATTTCTTCACTCGGTGCCGGAGACCTCTAACTTTGATGAAATTGCCAAGAGAAATAAAAGAAGATGTGAATGGGTGGTAAGCTACGATCTACTTTTCATGGATAATAATAAATATTTTTAATTATTTTTTGGTTGCAGGTTTCACAAATTGACAAAAGGGGCAAAACTATATTAATATGGAAAAAATAAGGCTGTGTATCGGACGGTTAGAAAAATTGGCTAATTTGTGAATTATATATTTTTGTTTGATTATATAGCCCAAGTTTCTTTACATGTATAATTTTGATTTATCTGGATTTTTCTTTGATCACATTTAGAAAATAGCGGGAAATCAGCCACAAATGTAAAACACCTTTTTTGCACCTTCTCACCTAATATCAAAACACTTTTATTATTATAAAAACTTTGCAGATATCGTTTTGAGTTATTTGATTCAATAATTTTGATAAAACTCTTTTTTTAAAGAGAAATGATTGGACGCAATGAAGCACACAACAGAATATTCTATTTTTTTCATAAAATTGTATGTGGGCCTTTAAGATCTATGAATTACCTTTGTTATCTATAACTTGAGAATAGATTTTGAGATTATGAAGCAGCTCAAACATAAATCTGGTCGATAGATCTCTTGTTATTATTCCGGCAGAAATTGTATCGGCCAAAAAATACAAATTTTTATATAAGTGGATACTCTTTTATCGTGGCAAATCTATAAAGGACCAGAATCAGAGTTTCATACCTCGATAATTAATTTTCAAGTTGATCATATAATTAATTGTATTTATCTTTTACGTGCATTTTATAACATTTATGGCTGTCTCGCCTGTAAGTGCATGCTTATTCAGTATTCACTTGCTGAACTACGCTTATTTAAACCAAGTAATTGCCTATGTATTAAGATAATAATTTTTGTTCTAATAAAGTACAGTATTTTCTCATTTTTTATAAAACAAATAAAATTATTTATTCAAGAATTTCTATATTTTAATTTATATTATTTTATCTATTATTATATTCATTTATATTTTTTTAATTTTCTTATTTTGAGATTTTATGATTTATTTTAAGTTTTTATTTTTATGTATTTGATATTTATTATTAATAAAATAATATAATTATTTCTGTGTTTTTGTAAATTTTATGATTTCTATTAATTTTTTTTATTTCTGTGTGTGTTTTATATTTATTTATTAATAAATAGCTTTAAAAACAACATGTCACCAATTTTGAACTATAACAGTTTCCGTTGTGATTTGATGTATAAACAAATTATACTGAAGGTTTAATATGTTAAACTTACAAATTTGAGTGTTTTGAATGCTTGTGAAATTCTTTTAAAGTTTAAAGTGTAATTAACTGTCGTCCAAGGAGTTTTTAAGTGATTTCCCCTAAATCAATCATATGTGCAAAATAATTTACGAATAGTTTATCTTTAGAAAAACAAAATTCTTAATTTAATGACGGAAAAAATCTTTAATAAGTCCGACCTGCCGGAATCGAACCAGCGACCTAAAGATTACAGCAACAACTACAGTCTTCCGCTCTACCAACTGAGCTAAGGTCGGCTTGTATTTACTTTGAATAAACTACTAATATAAAGCAATTCTTAAGAGGCCAGTAGATGTGAAGCCCATCACGGCTCTAATGCAGTTTTATTTTGTTGACATAACGGATATAATTTTCTTACACGATTATGTTTTGGATACAAGAGTACACACAAACGTACGAATGCATTAGCATACATAACGCATTCATAAGTCATTTTAACTAGGCCAAGGTCAATAAAAAACATGAACGAATTAGTTAAAGAAAGTAGTAAAAAAGAAATTTCATTAATTTTCTGTGACATATAAGGCACAAAGGGATACTAGCTAGGATGCGCTATACAGAATAAATCACATTAGCTTTTCACTTAGTTGAACAAAAAAAAACAAAAAAGCTTTTCACCTGTTCCTTCAACTGCTGAAAATTGGTATGCATGTGACGAGGAAACAAGAGTTTAATTGGGCTAAAATAATAAGATAATGGACATATTATTATATGAACAGTAATGGGCTTTGTTAGCCTGCTCAGAACTCGGAAACCCTAATACATATACATAACTAACAAAAGCACAGTTCCCCTTTCTCACTGTCGTCGTCTCCTTGAATCTCATCTTGCGTCTCCTTGCCGATTGTTACCATCACCATCATGGTTACTCTCTCCCCCGTTTCTCGAATTCGCATTATCTCTTTTTCCTCGGATATCTAATTTGAAATATTCTGTTTGTTTTTTCAGGCGCCAAAGAAGGATAAGGTTCCACCGCCGTCATCTAAGCCGGCTAAATCCGGAGGTGGAAAACAGAAGAAGAAGGTTCGTTTCCTTTAAGATAGAGTTTTGTATGAGATCTGATTTAGCTTTGGTAACCACTGTCCTAGAGATCGATCTGATTTTGTTTGGGTGAAGATGGAATATGTATGAATATTATTGTAGGCACTTTGGTTATGTATAAACATTTTGGTGTGAAAAGCTTTTCTTGCTTTTGTGTTTTGTGTTCATGATCATTTCTGGGTTTAACTGTTGTCTTGTTTGGCCATTGTTTAAATAAAAACAGAAGTGGAGCAAGGGAAAGCAAAAGGAGAAGGTGAACAACATGGTCTTGTTCGATCAGGCTACTTATGACAAGCTTCTCACTGAAGCTCCCAAGTTCAAACTCATCACCCCTTCCATTCTCTCTGACCGTATGAGGGTACTTTATATCTCTACTTCCTGTCTCTTCTGTTTACTATTTTTTTGTTTTTAAGTTGGACTTCTTTCCATAGTATTGTCTTAATGTTGCATATATGTACTTTAATCTGTTAGTGTGGGCTATAACATAATCAAAAGTAGTGAATATTGTTGTATGCTAGTAATATGATCATATAGTTTCTAGTAATTTTACAAAAGAAGAAACTTTATTAAGTTCTTTCAATCCTTTGCTCTTGAGGTTGTTCTTTACTTCCAAATACTCTCATAGCATTCTTAAGTTGCCACCTCTTCCTGTCTAGAACTTAAAACTTATATGTTATATTTTTTGTGTTTCTTCTTGTTTGGGTTATAATGCCTTTCCACGTTTTTCTGTTTCTCCTTAAAAATTACAGATTAACGGGTCCCTAGCAAGGAAGGCCATCAGGGAGCTAATGGCGAAAGGTGTGATCAGGATGGTCGCAGCTCACTCTAGCCAGCAGATCTACACTCGTGCCACCAACACCTAACCAATATAATTGACTCTTGCCATTGGTTTTGTTGTTGAATCTCATCTCTTTTTGATGTATACATTAATCATCAGAGCTCCTCTTATAGTTTTCTTCCTTCGTGAAACTCTTTAGAATGTTGTTTTGAGTTTTGATAAAATGGGAATTTATTTTATTAGTTTTTCCTCGCAATATTTCATTTCTTTTTGCCACTAAAACCATCTTCAATAGTTCATTCTATTCTATTTTTTCCTTCAAGATAAAATAACTCTAATTCTATTCTATTTTTTCTTTCAAAATAAAATAATTCTAAAATAGAGTTGAGTTTTACTTCAATGATAATAATAAAAAAATAATTTTATGATGAATAAGACAAAAATAACTTACTTGTTGTAAATAGAATAAAAACTTGTGCATTATTATGTTTTGGGTCGTCGCATATATATACAAAGGTTGGACTGTCATAAAACAAGAGATAAGTCTTATCACTTAGCCTAAAGTGATAAGGATTACAAGAGATAATTATAATTTTATATGGATTAGGATAACTACAACAATAAGGATAAACATAAGAAAGAATATATGGATAAGATCTACTCATGGTCGCATGTAGATAAGGACAAAGAACCTCGGATAGACCTGATCCAATTTAGTAGAACTCAGATGAGCTTATGATCCTGCACATGAGCCCAAGGCCCGATTCCGGATATGGCCCAACCAAAAATGGTTCTCAACACTCCCCCTTGGTTGATATATCCAGTTAGAGTTCATTTCATGCTTTTGATATTACCTAATTAAAACCTCTCCTGAAAAACTTAAAACCCAATATGATAAAAAGAGAAACCAAGGATATGACAAAAGAGTACAACACATAAACTCCCCCTCACAAATGCATCACTTAAGGTCCTTCAGCTGACGCACCCCAATCTTATGTATTAGCTTCCTGAAGGTCGAGGTTGGCAAAGACTTGGTGAAGAGATCAGCTGAATTCTCACTTGAACGTACTTGGAAAACTTGAACCTCGCCTGACTTCTGGAGATCATGTGTGAAGACGAACTTGGGCAGAATGTGCTTCGTCCTGTCTCCTTTGATGTAGCCATCTTTGAGCTGTGCTATGCAAACCACATTGTCTTCATACATCACTAATGGTGGGTCTTTTCCTTTGGACATACCACAAGTATCTCGGACATGCCTGGTCATGGCCTTAAGCCATATGCTCTCACGGCTGGCCTCATGTATGGCCAGGATCTCCGCGTGGTTGGATGAAGTGGTCGTCATGGTCTGCTTCATGGAACGCCGGGAAATTGTTGTACCACCATATGTGTAACCATAACCATTATGAGATCTACCACAATGAGGGTCTGATAAGTAACCTGCATCATCAAAACAAACAAAACCTTCCTTAGATTGGTTAGTATATAATAAATCCAAATCTTTTGTTCCTACATATAACGAAGTATATGTTTTATCCCGTTCCAGTGCCTTTGGGTCGGACAAGAGCTGAATCTTGATAACAAGTTCACGGCAAAACTGATATATGGCCGAGTGTGGCAGGCCAAGTACATCAGAGCTCCTATGGCACTAAGATATGGCATTTCAGGACCAAGGACCTCTTCATTGTCCATCTTTGGACCAAACGGATCAGTGTTCGGTTCGAGGCTTCTCACGACCATGGGCCTATTTAATGGGTGAGATTGGTCCATATTAAACTTCTTGAGTATCTTTTTTGTATATGCCATTTGATACACAGGTATTCCATCTTTCATATACTCAAGTTGTAAACCCAAACAAAACATTGTTTTTCCAAGATCTTTCATTTCGAATTCTTTCTTTAGGTATTAAACTATTTGGGAAATCTCTCCAGAGGTTCCTAGGATATTTAGATCATCCACATACACTGCAATGATGAAAAAGCCCTTATTGAACTTCTTTATGAATATACATGGACATATCTGGTCGTTTTTGTATCCTTCTTTCACGAGGTACTCACTCAATCTATTGTGCCACATTCGACCTAATTGTTTCAATCCATAAAGAGCCTTGTTCAATCTGATACAATGTTGTTCTCGAGAACTCTTTTTTTCAATTCAATACCATCTGGAATTTTCATATATATCTCATTATCCAGTGGACCATACAAGTAGGCTGTTACAACATCCATTAGCCTTAGATCTAGACCTTCTCTCATGACCAGACTTATTAAAAATCTGAAGGTCGTAGCATCCACCACAGGGGAGTATGTCTACTCATAATCTATTCCTGGTCTCTGTGAGAATCCTTGTGCAACAAGTCGTGCTTTATATCTCACAACTTCACCTTTCTCATTTCTTTTCCTCACAAAGACCCATTTGTATCCAATTGTTTTCATATCATGAGGTGTCCGGATGATTGGTCCAGACACACCTTTTTTTCTCAGTGATTCTAACTCCACGTTAATGGCTTCTTTCCATTTCAACCAATCTGGTCGTTTCATGCATTCATATATGGACGTCAGTTCATGATCCTCATTTTCCAGAAGTTCAAGTGCTATATTATACGGAAATATATCATCGAGCTCGATTTCTTTACGGTTCCATTTTGTTCCAGACATGACATAGTTTATTGAGGTCTCATTACCGTCAGGACCATGTGTACCATGAAGCTCAGCGTCCCGAGCCCCATCTATTGGCACCATTGGCCCGTCCGGCCCACTTGGCTCGACCAGTCCGGTTGGCACGGCCGGTCCACTAATGTACTGGACGGTTTCCTTATGGCACGGTTTCCTTATGACCCTCGGATCGAGCACCTTTCTTGGACTTCTGAGGGTTCTTATCTCTGGAACCAATTGGTCTACCACGTTTCAATTGTGGTCGAGACTCATTAGCAACTTGACTTTGTCTCTCTTAGACATCAATTCTTATAGGTGCATTCACAGCTGGTATGTATGACTTAATCATTCTGTTTGGGTCAGCAAAGGAATCTGGCAATTGATTAGCTAGCTTTTGCAAATGTATTATTTTCTGGACTTCTAGATCACAATCTTTTGTCTGAGGATCTTGCCATATTAAGGATGTTTGATTCCATTATATATCATGTACCAGCTTACCATTATCTTCCTCTAATACTGGATACTAGGATTCATCAAAATGACAATCCGAAAACCTGGCCTTAAACACATACCCCGTGGTTGGCTCAAGGTATTTTATTATTGTGGGGGGAATCGTATCCAACATATACTCCCATCCTCCTCTGAGGTCCCATCTTTGTTCTCTGTGGTGGTGCTATAGGCACTTGGATGGAAATTCCAAACGTTTTTAGATGGGAAATGTCTGGCTCCTGGCCCGTTAATAAATGGGACAGCGAGCATCTATGCTCACTAGATGGCCTGATGCGAATTAACTCAGCAGCATGTAAAACTGCATGTCCCCAAGCTGAGACCGGGAATCTGGATCTCATTAATAGTGGTCTGGCTATCAGCTGAATCCTTTTGATAAAGGACTCGGCCAGACCATTATGGATATGTACATGAGGTACAGAATGTTTCATACCTACTCCCAATGACATACAATAGTCATTAAAGGCTTGGGACGTGAAGTCACTAGCATTGTCTAGACGTATAGTCATTAAAGGAAAGTCTGGAAAGTGTGCTCTAAGTCTTATGATCTGAGCTAGCAATCTTGCAAGTGCCAAGTTGTGTGTGGATAGGAGACAAACATGTGACCATCTCGTGGATGCATCAATCAAGACCATAAAATATCTAAACATCCCACATGGTGGGTGTATAGGTCCACATATATCCACTTGTATTCTTTCCAGAAAATTTATCACTTCCTTATGCACTTTTTCTGGTGATGGCCTAGTAATTAGTTTCCATTGTGAACATGCTTCTTTTGGGATAACTCTTTTTGTTTTCAAACTGTGCCCATTTGAATTTATTATGAGTTTTCGCATCATGTTTGAACCGGGGTGGCCTAACCGGTTATGCCAAAGAGTGAATTGTTCCTTGAACTCTTTTTCATCACGACATTAGCCTCAACTAGACTGGTCTTGGCATAGTAAAGACCAGTCCCATACGCAGGTATTGTCTCTAAGACTTTCTTATTGCCTTGGGGGATTTCATAAATCTGAAGGAACTCTTTATTTCTTTCGCCCATTGTTTCTATATGGAAACCATTCAACCTTATGTCTTTGAAATTCAACATGCTTCTATTAGAACTTGGCGAGTACAATGCATCTGATATTTCAAGATGAGTACCATTAGGCAACAAGATATGGGCCTGGCCGTGGCCTTCTATAAGGCTGGCCATTCCTGCTATGGTTGAGACATTGCCGGCCTTATGAGTAAGGCTTATAAAATATCTTTTGTCTCTTAAAATAGTGTGGCTGGTTCCACTGTCCACCACAAATGTATTCATTCCCTTTTTCCTTCTTCAAAAGCAAGAATCATAGAATTAAAATAAAAATAATTCCGTTCATAAGATAAAGTCTCAAACAAAATCAAATCAAGAAGAAGAAAATAAAAAAAATCAAAAAAAATGAAACAAAGCAATCATAGAACATTTTCTATCTTAACATGTCAGCAGTCTCATATTCCATGTGATCAACTTGGTCGAGTTTTTGAGACTTCTCTTGGTTATTCTGGACGTAGTCCATGTCTTCTTCTTCATCACCATCATATCCAGCATCTTGGACCATGTGGGCTTCTTGGTTATTTTTCAAATCTTTAAGATAGAGCTTGCACAAGTGCTTAGGGGTCTGGCAATTCTTTTCCCAGTGATTACCCATACCATATCTATGACATAAGTCGGATTTGTTTTGTGGTTTAAAGGACCTATTTTGGCCCCAACCACAGCCAAATCCGGGTGAGTTCCCGCGGCCTCATCCTCGTCCATGCACCTTATAAGAGCCACAGCCTCATCCAGAACCCTTCCCACGGCCAGTGCCGGATCGGTTATTATGTTGGACGAGGTTACTTTCTTTCTTGGCTTCTATGGCCGGTTTGGACGACTCGAGTAATGGTGCTGTTCCTGGAGGTCTCATCTCACTGTTCTTCATTAGTTATTCATTATTAGCCTCAGCCAACAATAGACAAGAGATTAAATCAGAATATGTAGCAAAACCTCTCTCTCTCTGTACTGCTGTTGCAGTAATATATTACTCGAATGGAATGTAGAGACGGTTTTGTTAAGGACCATTTCTGGTGGTTGGGCCATATCCGGAACCGGGTCTGGTCG